AATAATAATAATAATAATAATAATAATAATAATAATAATAATAATAAGGCTAAATCACAAATGCACTGTTTGATTCAAGACAATTACTGCCTTGGAAAAGAAACTCTTTCTCAATCTATTAGTCCTCATTTTAAGACACCTATAATGCCTCCCTGATGGTAACAGTTCAAAATATGACTGTCCAGGATGAAAATGGTCTGTGGAGATTTTTAGTATTCTAGAGAGGAGTCTGGTCTTTGCAATCTCTTCTAAAAAAGAAAGAGAGCAGCCGATGATTTTTTGTGCTCTGTTTATAACTCTCTGGAGCGTCTTCTTATCCACTGCAGAGCATCCAGCATACCACACCATTACACAGTATGCCAAAATGGTAAAAAGTAACCAGCAACTTCTCACCCAGACCACTCTTTTTCAGCAGCCTCAGAAAGTGCAGGCGCTGTTGGGACTTCTTTGCAGTGGCAATGCAGTGTGGACTGACCAAGTAAGGTTGTCGGAAATATGAGTTCCTAGAAATTTAAAACTGTGAACTCTTTCCACACAGTCTCCATTAATATATAGTGGGAGAGGCTCTGCTTTGCACCTTCTGAAGTCTATAATCAGTTCATTGGACTTTTTGATGTTCAGGGTGAGGTTTTGATTCTTACACCACAAGACCAGTCTGAGAACCTCTGACCTATAGGCCATCTCATCTCCTCCTAATATGAGTCCCACCAACGTGGTGTTGTCTGCAAATTTTAGTATAGAGTTAGCGGGACAAGAGGGAATGCAGTCATGGGTGTAGAGTGAATACAAAAGGAGGCGCAGCACACAGCCCTGTGAAGAGCCAGTGCTGAGAGCAAGAGTGGAAGATACTGAATAGAGAAATCAGTAGAAAGTTATTTTACAATTAGTATGCAAAGCCTTTTAGAAATATATCATCTTTTTAATGTAGAAGAATATTTATAAGATGAAAGTTCTGAAAGTAGTTGAAGTTAAATGATTGAAAAAAATAGGGGGATCAATAAAACACACTTAGTGAATCTTAAATGTAGTACTAATGGGGAAACAAATCTATTTTAAAAATATTCACTCCCTGCTTCCAAAAGAAAATAAATTCTGAACAGAAAGATCATAAGCCTTTGATGGCAGAAATTCAAAAAAGGAAGGACAGACTTTCAGATGTGGAACTGTAGAGTTTTGACAGCACCAACAAAAAGCTTTTTTTTGTTCTTGCACATGTGGCCTTATAATCATTTTGAAATCCTCTTAATATTTAGCAGGGACATATGCGAAAATGGTCCTTCAAAGTCTTTCATCTTAAAACATTTGAGGTTTCAAAGGTCATAACTAGCACTTTCCATTGGGCCTGGAAAAATGTAGCTTGTGCATGTTCTACCAAAGCGAGATTTTCCCTCCCTATATATGGAATGACTAAAGTATTTCTGACATTGAGTGTCACCTAAGTGTCAAAGCTGAATCCAAGAGTGTCCCAAGTGAAAAATCCATGTTCTCAAGGGGAATATCCTCTTATTATTTCTAGATTGGTTACTCTACTAACTGGAAGAATTTCTTATTTTAGCAGGATTAAATTTCAGTTTAGAAGAGAGAGACTCTGTTGCGATTCCATTACTGTTTGTAATATATTTATTAGATTTTTATCTCACCTTTATTACTTTATAAATAACTCAAGGTGGTGAACTTCCTCCTCCTATTTTCCCCACAACAACAGCCCACAAAAACAAAATTATAACCACAAGCAGATGTACATTTTCTTAATATTTCATCTATCGCCCTAAAAAAGGATTTAATTTAATGAGGGAACATTTTATATTTATGGATTGGATAGTAATATCAATTGCTAACAAGATATGTCTAATCTATATTCTGTTCAAAATGTGGTACAGGTAGTCTTCAACTAACAGCAATTCGTTTATTGACCATTTGAAGTTACAACAGCACTGAAAAAAATGATTTATGATCATTTTTCACATGTGATGGGTGCAGCATCCACGTCATATGATCAGAATTCAGGCACTTGGCAACCAGCATATACAAGGTAGTCTTCAATTTACAACAGTTCACTTAGTGACCAATTGAAGTTACAATGGCACTGAAGAAAGTGATTTATGAGCGTTTCCCACACTTATGACCATTGCAGCATCCCCGTGGTCATGTGATTTACATTCGGATGTTTGACAGCTGATTCACATTTACAGCTCTTGCAGTGTTCCTCTTTTGTGACCTTCTGAGAAGCAAAGGGAATGATACACTTAATAACCTGGGTTACTAATTTAACAACTGTAGTGAATCACTTAACAAATGTGGCAAGAAATGTTGTAAAAACTCACTTAACAAATTTCTCACTTAGCAACAAATTGTGGGCTCAATTGTGGTCATATGTTGAGGATTACCTGTATTCAGGACAGCCCCAGGTGTCCCAGGGACGTGGGATTGCCTTTTGTGACCAACTGATAAGCAAAGTCAATGGGGAAGCCAAATTCACTTAATAACCATGTTACTAACCTACCAACTGCAGTGATTCACTGAACAATGGTGGCGTGAAAGTTGTAAAATGGGGCAAAACTCATGTAACAACTGTCTTGCTTAGCAATGGAAATTTGGGCTCCATTGTGACTGTAAGTCGAGGCCCACTTGTATATGTTTTTGTAATTCGAACTGCAGATAGAAGCCCCCCAAATACAACTTCCATTACTAACACACATATAGTATACACTAATTTTAAATACACACAATTAAATTAAATGTATCTGCTTTTGTATCCATCTAAATATAGAGATATAACATATACAATATCTAATTTACACACCTTTCCAAAATATGTGGAGGATATTTCTTATTGCGTGAATGTCATTATTGCTCTCTCTCATAATATAACTGATCTTTTAAGAATATAAGGATATTGTCCAAAATCTTGAACTAACTAATCTATAGTTGGAGGAGTCCATTAATGAAAACAGACATCCCACGCTATTACCTATTGCTTAGTATATTCTGCACTTTTCTGCTATAGCAGGAGGGTAGATTTGCATTCTACTATTATGTAGAACCATAGGATTATGGATAATTGTATTTGCAATCTATATGTAGTGATGCATTGTGTCTGCTTTTGTTCTCTGATTTAAATTCTTGAAGTGATTAATAAAATACATATTAAAAAAAAACTACAGCAGTAATAGTCAAAACATCTTTCCTTGTTGCTTGACATTATAACTAGCAAACAAATTGTACTTTTTCCATTTAATTTGTATGACATTTTGATATTGAGTTGCCCATCATGTATCCAGGTAGATCATTACATTAACTAGGTAGTTACAGCTCATGGCCAGGATGGCTTATAGGATTGTCCAAGGATATAATATAGGTAGTCCTTGATTTACGATCACAAACAAGCCCAAAATTTCTGTTGCTGAGTGAAACAGTTGTTAAGTGAGTTTCGCCCCATTTTATGTCTATACTTGCCACAGATGTTAAGTGACTCGTTGGAGTTGTGAAGTTAGTAACATAATTGCTAAGTGAATCTGATTTCCCCATTGACTTTGTTTGTCAGAAGGTCACAAAAAAAAAATGATCACATGACCCTGGGACACTGAAACCATCATAAATAAGAATCAGTTGCCAAGTGTCTGAATTTTGATCACACGATCATGGGAATGTTGCAATGGTCATAAGTATGAAAAACAGTGAGAGGTCACTTTTTTCAGTGCCATTGTAACTTTGGATGGTCACTAAATGAACTATTGTAGGTCTAGGACTACCTGTACAGGTTCATACTTGAAATGTAGGGTATTGTATTTAGGTAAATAAGTACTCTAGCATTAAGATGCTAAAAATAAAACAGCTAGCTCAAACGGTCAAGGAGCTGTTTGTTCAAACGCCATTTCTTCACCTGTTTTTCCCCCTTTCCCCCCTTTTCATTCCACACAACAAAGGTTATTATTTAACAATAGCATTTTATCCCTTTGTATGCTTCCTTCATTCAGTGATACATTACAGAGAGAAATTAAAATATGATGAAGCATATGCTGCAGTGAGAATCCAACTCCTGTGTCTAGGACTCATTGGCTGCAGGAACAGAACCTGTCCTTAACTTAGCCACATTGCTTCCTCTTGTCTGATTGTGTGACATCCTGTCATATGTGGAGGTGCTGTCCGTCTGCCTCTGCTTGAATACTCACAGTAGCTCTTTCTGCGGTTCAAATCTTACATGTTAAGCTGCTGTTATTTGAGGGAAGCAAAATGATTAAAAGTGTGGGCCATCTGTGCAGATCCTGTAATTTGTTCGGTGGTTATATAATTTCCTTACTACTCTCTGTGTTCTGGACACAGAACACAGCAATTACATTCCAATGGAAGTGTAATTATATTAGTTCAAAAATATGATCTGTTTGCATGTACACAAATTATTTTTTTTTCTCTAAACAATTCATATATAAATTTGATTTATTTGTATCTGGTCTACATTGGTAGATACTTTTCAATGGCTGCTTTGCAATTATCTTTGGCATAGTTTTGCCTAATTAGCCTGTACTTAGTGATTTGAGATGTCTGTCAAAGACTGTTAGTAGAAAACATAGTGAGTTAAAAACTAATGTGGTGACCTCATCTCTGTTTGGTAAGACTCTGGAATACAAACTACGTTTGAAGAAAGAGTGTTGAAATTGTATCAGTCCATTTTATGCTGCAAATTAATTGGCTTTCACATGGATACCAATTTCATTTAACCATTTTAATTATGGGAGGAAATGCGGGGAGGGGGAAATTAGCAGTGCATTATTTGGCTTATCGCATCTGCTTGAAAATATTTTTCTGGAGCGTGTGTGTGTGTTTCAAGCACAGAATCCTGCTGTTCTCTGAAATTATTTTCCTCTGCTCACATGCGAGGCATTAAATCACATTCATTTAGTTTAGCATTTACATGAAAAACACACATGGGTTTGCATGTGCTGTCGCTTCTTACTTTTCAAAGCGATGTGAAGTGCAACTGCGATAGCTGGCTCTTTAATATTTGGGCACTGTACATCTACAATAGGTGTCACTGTGCTGCTAGTCCAATTGTTATTGGTGACTTCAGCGATTGGGCTAGGATGCTGCTCGTCTGGCTCCATCTGCAGGGCTCTAATGCCTCCTGTGTGCAGATCCCTTCAGCACACAAGTTGAGGCAGCTGACGAGCAGGCAGCACACATCTTTGCTCTTCTACTTGCTTTTTGCCACAGCCTAGCGGTTTCAGGTGAATCAGCCTCCAGACCCTTTGGAGGGGTGGGGGGAAGAGAGAGAGGAAAAGAAAGCTCTGGCGAGCAAATGAAAAAGGGAATCACGATGGGGAGACGTTTAACCAGTCAAGCCCTGGATCAAACTTAAAAGCCGATCTCTTATTCAGCACCCTGGAAAAGGTCACCTTGTCTTTGCTAGGAAAAAAAAGAAAGAAAGAAGCACACACTCTCAGCTTTGCTGCTCTTTTATTTGTACCTTCTGCGCCCTCTGTTTACCAAGTAAGGCTCTCTGCTTACACAGAACAGAGATACTCATGGTAGATGACAAGGGAAAGAACATGAAATGTCTCACCTTCTTCTTGATGCTTCCAGAGACAGTTAAGAACAGGTCCAAGAAAAGCTCGAAGAAGGTAAACAGTAGTAGTAGCAGCAGCAGCAGCAGTAGCAGCAGCGGTGGCGGTGGAGGCAGCAGCAGCAGCAGCAACAGCAAATTACCTCCAGTGTGCTATGAAATCATTACCTTGAAGACTAAAAAGAAGAAGAAGATGGCTGCTGATATTTTCCCCCGAAAGAAACTGGCTAACAGTAACACAACTGCTGTCCAGCAGTATCACCAGCAAAATATCAACAACAACAATATTATTCCAGCTCCCAATTGGCAAGGGCTTTATCCCACCATCCGAGAAAGGTAAGGAAGTTTGGCTCTATTTCTTCCTTGAGTTTATAAGTCCTGGAGCAGCATGTAATGAAATGTTTTATTAGCACAGGATTGTTCATTAAAACTGAGAAAAGGGGAAAGGTTTCTCCTTTCCAACAGTGCAGTTTTTGTCTATTGGTAATGAAAAATATATTGTCATGCAAGCCATTTTAAGCTCATAATTGTTTGTGCTCATAAAAAAAAATGTATTTTCTATGTCTTAACTTTCAGATGTTTGCACAGCTTGGCACATTCACTTTGATGAAAGTTTTTCCCAAAGTTTTTTGTAATGGTATCCTTATTTTAAAAACACTGAACATAATTACATAATTATCATTGCTTTCTGTTTTAATTTTCTCGGTTTGATTTTTAATGAAAACCTTTAAAGAGCTTCCAAGAAAAAGAATTGCGTGTGTTTGGAGGTAAAGCTTGATGCTAAACACTCCCAATTAATATATTGCTTCTGTTTATAGAAATGCAGTGATGTTCAACAACGACTTGATGGCAGATGTTCATTTTGTAGTTGGGCCACCAGGTGGGACCCAGCGATTACCAGGACACAAAGTAAGCAAGAACTGCAGTAGCAAGGACTGGCATGGGAGTGTGAGGGGAATATCTATGATTCCCACTTTAAATTCATATAACTGGCTTGAATCCTGGAACCGGTATACATAGAAATAGTTAAATAACTTTGCCTGTGAAATGTTCTAATAATTTCCTTTCTAGTTAACACATTTTTGCAATACTGATAGAAGATCTGTTGCAGAATTTTATGTGTGATTTGTGACACTATTCCAATGTTCTTCCAGATTGCTACCATCTTTTCCCCCCCACAACTAATTCTAATTCTTACAAAAATCCTATGATACAGTCTGAGATATAGTCTTACCCAAGGTTGCTGCAAGTGCTGTAAGATGGACTTCCATTCTAATAATAGTAATTGATAGTGGGAGCTAGAGGTGAGTTAAATCATAGCCCACCTGACATGGAGGGCACAAGATGCGGAAGCCTGTTCCAAAATGCTACAGCTGCTTGGCTCTCAGCATGACTTTCTTAAGCTCTTTTAGGAAAGCAATAGATATATTGAAGAACTATTTCTTAAGATGAAAAGAAAAACCCAGCTTTCCCCTACTTAGTTTTTGAAGGTGAAAATCTTCATTGCCTTCAACTAGGCCTTCTTTTTTTAATACACATGTGACTCTAGTATATCTTTTTATGTTTGTTTTATAGCATGAACTAATATTTTCCTTTTGTTGGAAAAAAAAAACAGTATGTCTTAGCCGTTGGAAGTTCTGTGTTCCACGCAATGTTTTATGGAGAGCTTGCTGAGGATAAAGATGAAATCCGTATCCCAGATGTGGAGCCTCCTGCTTTCCTCGCTATGCTAAAGTAAGCAAGCATCTTTCCTCAGTTGCTGGAAATGAATTAGAAATGAATTAGTTTGGCTGGTCTAGAAATGTCAGTGTTAAAAGGTGTGTATCATTATAAAAAGAAATATCTCAATCTTTGCTCCAAAAATGGTCCCTGTGTTAGTTTTAAAACTAGTTTCAATTTGTAAATTTTATATTTTTCCCTGTCTTCCCCCGCTTTTTCCCACTACATTTTGCATGTCACTTACAACTTTCAGGCAAATTGTTAATATATTATATACAAAAGGAGGGATATGATAAATTTAAAAACATGAAAAGAAAATCTAAATAATTTCATATGTCTCCTGATAAAAATGTTTGCATTACTTTCCCATTCCTCTTCAGTGCAATTGTCATTACATAAAGCTGTCAAATGAATTCATCATGATAGAATTTTTTCCTATCGGCCGCATAAAATCTAAAATGCTAACAACAATTGGTTTCTTCAAATATATTTGAGGCATTTTAACATGGAACTGAAGATAGAACATGCGTTTTTTCTTTTTTTAGCGATTCTTCACTCCATCTGGCTTGCTTCTCTTGTGTGATGAGTGGGATGTAAAGAAAAACAAGTTGCTTTCTTACTGTGCTTTCCATAAATTCAAGTTGAAGGTGTATCTGAAAAGAGTTATTATTCTTCAGAAACATTCATCGATTTGTTCATTTAAAAAAAAAATCATCATATTACATCTTAACATTGTGGGAGTTGGTTTCTCCCCTCCCCCCCAACTTTGGTTAGCTATCTCTTAGCTACTAATGTCTTAATTAAATTGTCTGGATGATACTAAAACAAGTACTTTGTAACTTTCTTAAAATCAAGTGCATCACCAGTTACCACACAATGTGCGAGGAACATGAAAAGAAGTTATACAAAGTAGGATAACCAGCAATAAGATGTCATTGTGTTCATGACATGTGGCTCGACATTGAGAATTCTCAAAGGTGATTGTAATAGTTAAGTATAAGTGCTAGGTTTAATTGCTAAGATTGCCACCATTGCCGTATATTTAGATAATTAGCATGAACTTTAGCTAATTATCTTTAGTAAACTTTTTAATAGTTATATTCTCAGTAAAACCGAAGTATTGCTTGGTAGACTTCAACAACACCATAATGCTCTATGATGCATTAGGAAATGTATTTGGTGAGATACCACTGACATGTGCCAAGCGTACTGTACTTCTATAATAGATTTCAGGATTGTTCTGGAATCTTTAGCAGTGCTCTTGAGTATGTTTCTTAGGTGTATTGTATTAAAAACCATTTTTTTCATCTAATAAAACACAATTCCACAAGTTGGAATTGCGTGTCAACAGCTTTTCCAAACCAGGACCCCTGCAAATATATTAGAGAGCGACAACTTTCAAAGTTCCTAGCCATTATGAGACTGATTTTGTCTAGGCGCAGTTTTGCTAGGCTTCAGCTTTGCAGACATTTTCTTTTTTTTAATTACTATTTTCCCAGTCATTGGGGGTAATGGAGAGGGACTCTCAGCTCTCTGCAGGCATAACTGAGGGGTCTGAATCAAGTCTGTCTTGGGGAAACAGATTGCGCAGTGCCTCATTTCATGGTCTTAGGCTTTGCTACAGTGGGTTTTTTTCTGCACAGCTCTTCCCATCATCAAAAGCTAGCAAAGAGGCATCTTCACTACATTCCAATCATCTTTGGCAGATAATAACCCATGGTTAGGAATGTTCAGCTGAACGCCCCACTTTCTACTCGGGTTAATTTCTCTGCTTAGAAAGCTTTTACTTCATTAACTTTGTGCTCTGGGAAAGCCTTAGGTTGGTGGCATAGGTTACAGCAGCATCGGTATTCAATGGAGCTTAGGACTGCCCTAGAAATAAACCATCAGTGCCCAATAGCAGAAATAAAAAGGCAAACGAATGGAACTTTTTAAAATAAGAGCTTACTTGAGATTGGCGTTTCTTCTGCACTTTGAAGCCTTCCCCACTTCCAGGTAGCAAGTAATGTTTATAAGGTTGCATGGTTGTCTTCATTTTTTCCCCACTAGGAAATCTGTAGTGCTCAAGCAAATTTCAACACCAGATTCTCCCATCTTTTCCTTGTAACCATTCATCTTGTCATAAATCATATTTCCCGTTCTAATCCCCAGAACTGGTATAGAATGCCAATTTTAAATGTGTGCAACCTGGCAAGGTTTCACTTCAACAATGGATTGCGTAAGATTGTGCAAAGCTAAGATCAAAACTGTTGCAGAAGAAGAATCCTCTCTCTTTTCACATCCTCCAAACAAATTGCCATGTTCTTTTTAGCCCCATGGCTGGATTTGGAAGTCAGAAAATGACAAGCACCAGTAAAAGTGTACTTTACAGCAGGCATTTTGAAGCACAGCTCACTAGGGAATATCCTTCCCCCACTCTATCTCTTCAAGTCTGGCTACTTCCCTTGAGAGGGCAAATTGGAGCATTTCTCATAAATGTGCATGTAGACAGTGATAAAACAAGATCTCTGAAGCCCTTGAATTCATAAGGAAGAAAAGCCGGTTAGGACAGAGATAGCTTAATACTGTTCCTTGAGTGTTCTGAAATTTTGATAAGGGCTATAAGAACTCTACTAGATTAAACACCTAATGGGGGAGGAGAAGAAATTAATTGAGTGTCTTGCAAATTTTGACAGTCACTCAGGAAATTGTTGTCTTCCCACTCCTCCTGGAATTCAGAAGCATTAATAGCTTCCATTAAATCAACTAAGAATGCAGAAAGACATTGAATACCTGTTTACTCTCTTTTTAAAGCCGCCTAAGCCAGAGGTCTTTGCATTGTCTTGTGGCAGAATAATCCATATGACTGAGTGGCTGAAGTATCTTTTGTTGGTAGTGAACATTGTTATCAATTCCCTCCACCACCGCCCTCTCCCAGTGTAACTTTCACAGTAATTCACCATAGTGGAAAATTTATGGAGCTTCCAGAGCTTTAGTTTATTAATTGGTTGAGCAGGGAATTAAAGTTTCAGTTTTTATTAGGTTGTTTCTGTCATGGTGGCTGCATTTATAAGAAAGTTTGTATATCTATTAACTGCGATCCACCAAAGAAGTCAAATCAGTCTTTGTCAGGAGCAAAACCAAGTCCAATCTTGATTTGTCCTTTGACAAGACCGATCTTATAGCCTGGACTGGCATAACTTTGCCGTATGTTCAGCTCTTTACCATGAGCAGGCTGCAAATACACATACATACTGAGTATCTGTGTGCTGTACTCAGAGGTTTTGGTTGCAAGTAAAAACAAAAACTTTTTCTTCTCTTCTTCCCCTCCATGGGATGTCCAGCAGCAACTTATTTCAGAAGCGAAAAGGCAGTGGAATGTTTCTCTAATGGACTTTGTGCCATCCAAGCAGATTTGTCCTATTTTTTTCTTTCAAATAATTAAATTTGTGAGTTGGGATGTGTATTAAGAATATAAAAATATACTGAAAACAAAATAATTAGAATGAGGTACAGGTGAAACTCAAAAAATTAGAATATCATGCAAAAGTTCATTTATTTCAGTAATGCAACTTAAAAGGTGAACCTAATATATGAGATAGACTCATTACATGTAAAGCAAGTTAGTTCAAGCCATGATGTGTCATAATTGAGATGATTATGGCTTACAGTTCATGAAAACCCAAAATCCACAATCTCAGAAAATTAGAATATTGTGAAAAGGTTCAATATTCTCGGTTCAAAGTGTCCCACTCTCATCAGCTAATTAAGCCAGAACACCTGCAAAGGGTTCCTGAGCCTTTAAATGGTCTCTCTGTCTGGTTCAGTAGGAATCACAATCATGGGAAAAACTGCTGACCTGACAGTTGTGCAGAAAACCATCATTGATACCCTCCATAAGGAGGAAAAGCCTCAAAAGGTAATTGCAAAAGAAGTTGGATGTTCCCAAAGTGCTGTATCAAAGCACATTAATAGAAAGTTATGTGGGAGGGAAAAAAGTGGAAGAGAAAGGTGCATAAGCAGCAGGGATGACTGCAGCCTGGAGAGGACTGTCAGGAAAAGGCCATTCAAAAGTGTTTGGGACTTTCACAAGGAGTGGATTGGAGTCAGTGCATCAAGAGCCACCACACACAGATGGATCCTGAACAGGGGCTTCAAATGTTGTATTCCTCTTGTCAAGTGCTCCTGAACAACAAACAACATCAGAAGCGTCTTAGCTGGGCTAAAGAAAAACAGACCTGGTCTGTTGCTCAGTGGTCCAAAGTCATCTTTTCTGATGAGAGCAACTTTTGCATCTCATTTGGAAAGCAAGGACCCAGAGTCTGGAGGAAGAATGGAGAGGATGCAAGATGCTGCAAGATGCTTGAAGTCCAGTGAAAGTTTCCAGTCTGTGTTGATTTGGGGAGCCACTGTGCTTCATTAAGTCCATGTCATCTGCTGGTGTTGGTCCACTGTGCTTCATTAAGTCCAGGATCAACACAGCTGGCTACCAGGAGATTTTGGAGCACTTCCTGCTTCCTTCCGCAGACGAGCTTCATGGGGATGCTGACTTCATTTTCCAGCAGGACTTGGCACCTGCCCACACTGCCAAAAGCACCAAAACCTGGTTCAATGACTGTGGGATTACTGTGCTTGATTGGCCAGCAAACTCACCTGACCAGAACCCCACAGAGAATCAATGGGGCATTGCCAAGAGAAAGATGGGAGACATGAGACCGAACAATGCAGAAGAGCTGAAGGCCGCTATTGAAGCATCCTGGTCTTCCGTAACACCTCAGCAGTGCCACAGGCTTCCATGCCACGCCGCATTGAGGCAGTAATTGCTGCAAAAGGGGCCCAAACCAAGTACTGAGTACATATGCATGCTTATACTTTTCAGAGGTCCGATATTGTTCTATGTACAATCCTTATTTTATTGATTGCATGTAATATTCTAATTTTCTGATATTGTGGATTTGGGGTTTTCATGAGCTATAAACCATAGTCATCTCAATTATGATAAATCCCGGCTTGAACTATCTTGCTTTGCATGCAATGAGTCTCTTTAGTTTCACCTTTTAAGTTGCATTACTGAAATAAATGAACTTTTGCACGATATTCTAATTTTTCGAGTTTCACCTGTACAAGTAATCCAGACATCACCTGAAGGTGCTGCTTTGAAAAGATTGCTTCCTTGGTAAATTTAGATATTTTGGAACAACTAGACAAGGGTTTTCTCCTTCCTTGCTTGAATACCTCTTCCCACATTTCTTCTTTCCATCCAGTTGTGTTGCTTTCTTTCTCCATCCCTTTTCACTACAATGACTTTTTCCTTCTTATCCGATCTCCATCCTGAATTTTCCTCTTTGGAGGAATTTGTGTATCTCCTTTTGTGAGACACTGTTCATACATGCAGATTTTGGAAATGGTGCATCTTATTTAACAGGCAATTGGGCTTAATTAGTAGTTTTTACAAGTAGTCCTTGGCTAACATCCCTTAGTTCAACGATCATTCAAAATTACAGTGGTACTGGGAAAAAAAAATATGTATGACTTTCCTCTGAGTTCTGTGTGGTTTTCTGCACTCCTGCAGTCACAGGATTGCAATCTGGGCACTTGGCTGCTTGGCTCAGAATTACAACATTTCAGGCATCCCTGCTGGCTTCCTCATAAGGAAAACCAGTGGGGAAGCTGGCAGGAAAAGTCACAAGTCATTCTGGTAAGTTCCCCTGGTTTTCCTGCATTCATGCTATAACATGCCCTCTACCTCATGGCCTTTTTATACCTGCGAATCCTACCTCTTGCACTCTGCTGCACTATGCCTTCTATCCCATGGCCTTTCTGCACCTGTGCTGCACCCTCTACCCCATTTTCTTCCTGCACTTGCATAATGCCACCACATCTCCCTCTCCCTCCTGGGCTTCCTAGGGCTTCCCCGCTCCCTGTAGCACTGCTTCCCGCTTAATGAACCCCACACACAACTTGGGGTGGTGATAGCAGCTGTGGCTACTGAGATTGTCACTAAGCGATGCAGCCACTGGATGTTGTGCTTTACTCCTTAGGGACGGCAATCCCAAGCCCACCTGTAGTTCATTTAATACAATTTTTTAAAAATCCTATTTAGGCTATGTAGATTTTGGCAGGCATATTTCCATACATGCTTATGAGTGGCGCAGTACCTAGAGGTGGAGCTCTTGCCTCACGATCAGGAGGCTGTGAGCTCGATCCTAGGCAATGGCAAATATTTCTCAATCTGGGCACAATGAGTAATTATCTGCTGCAAACTCTGCATTGGCAATAAGAAGGGCATCCGGCCAGTAAACATTCTGCTCCATTCAGTTGCCTCGACTCCACCCCAGTAAGGGATTATGGGGTCATTAAAAGCCAAAAAAAAAAAAAAAATTCCATACATGCTTATATGTGTATACAAGAGCGTCACATGCACAGACTTATGGCAGAGGGATCTCCAGCATTGGTTTCAACTGGAATCGGCAACTAAGGTTAACAAAGGGAGAAATTCAGCACTACAAAAGTTCTTTTTTTAACTATCTAAACAGTTGTTTATTATTAGGTAGGTAGGGGATTATCTTAAACTCACATTGTCATTTTTGGGGAGGTCAAATAGCATATTACTATATGACCATGGACTATTATATAGAGATGTACACAGAGCAAGTTACAGAACCATGGCATTGTTCACCAAATTGATGCAAAAGATTCGTCATATTAAATGGGAGAATCCTTTTTTCCAGTCAGTTGCTATGGTCTTCAAATGGTTGACTCACAACCACCTTTATTAGCCGACATACAAAAGAAGCAGTGCATGGGGAGATTTGTGAACGACATCTTAAAATACGTTGTTCCTGCCAGAATTTATAAATCTTACATGTTATTTTAAAAAGTCCCAGATAAATCACCGTAAATCCCTCTGCTTCCCTATTAGCTAGTGCATCCCTGTAAGCATGCAACACTACAAATATATGTGGCTTTTTAAAAAAAAAAAATCTGACAGGTTCTTAACTATCCTGAGAATTATATGCTTGTTTGTAAGGCGCGTAAGATAAATTCTGCAAAATCTGCTGTATGTGATATAACTGGCCACAATGAAATTTTAACATTGTGCTCACTGCCAAATTATTTTGCCAAAAATAATAGCTGCTATGGTGGATCAAGTTATATGTGCAGTAAATAGACCAATTAGGTGTTCCCTTTAAATTTTCCACCATTCAAAGCTAGGGAGACAGGCTTGTCAAGTAAACTAGGTTAGCTCAGTCAGAATTATACAGGAGATTAGTTTCATTTTCTAACTGCATTCGTTTCATTCCTTTGTGCCTAGGCTCAAGGCGAGAGAAAGGTGCAAAGAAAGCAGGATCAGATTGTAGCTAAGGAGAAGCTCTTGTTAGCTCACACTTGGATTTGTGAAACAGCATCAGACTTATTTAAATTCATTATGTCATGGCTTAAGTCATGGCTGCTGCCTGAATTAGTTTAGCCATATAAAAGAATCATCACTCAAATATATGCAAGCCAACAATGTATTACAGCATTGTTGAAGAAAAAAGGAAACATTAAAGTTTGCCTCCTATTGGTGATTTGCAGCATAGATTGTTAATTATCTATCCTACACTTACAGACAAGTTTTGAGGATAAAGAATTTGTTAAATAGGGAGGATGTTATTTGGTCAGCAACCTAAATTGTTGTGTCCAAGCTGTGATTGAGAGAATATATTAGTGTTTCCCAGACATGTTCTTTCTATTTTCAGTATTGTAGAAAAATGTTATCTGCCCCATCTGCTAAAATACTAGCATGATATGTATATTTATTTATTACAGATACATTTATTGTGATGAAATTGACCTGGCTGCTGATACGGTTCTGGCAACTCTTTATGCCGCCAAGAAGTACATTGTTCCTCATCTCGCCCGGGCCTGTGTGAATTTCCTAGAGACAAGCCTGAGTGCAAAAAACGCTTGTGTGCTGCTTTCCCAAAGCTGCTTATTTGAGGAACCGGACTTGACTGAGCGTTGCTGGGAGGTGATCGATGCACAGGCCGAGCTGGCCCTGAAATCGGAAGGCTTCTGTGACATTGACTTCCAAACCCTTGAAAGCATTCTCCAGAGGGAGACCCTGAACGCCAAAGAGATCGTGGTTTTCGAAGCTGCCCTCAATTGGGCCGAAATGGAGTGTCAACGGCAAGAGTTGCTTCCTAGCATTGAAAATAAGCGCAAAGTGCTCGGGAAGGCGCTCTATCTCATTCGCATACCCACCATGGCCCTGGATGACTTCGCCAACGGGGCTGCTCAGTCTGGTCTTCTGACCCTCAGTGAAACAAACGATATCTTCCTTTGGTACACAGCTGCCAAGAAACCAGAGTTGCAGTTTGTGAGCAATGCCCGCAAAGGCCTGGTCCCTCAGCGCTGTCATCGCTTCCAGTCATGTGCCTACCGCAGCAACCAGTGGCGCTACCGGGGCCGTTGCGACAGCATCCAGTTTGCTGTTGACAAGAGGGTTTTCATTGCTGGGTTTGGACTCTATGGCTCCAGCTGCGGATCAGCAGAATACAGTGCTAAGATTGAACTCAAGCGTCAAGGCGTTATCCTTGGACAAAACTTGAGCAAGTATTTCTCAGATGGATCTAGCAATACTTTCCCCGTGTGGTTTGAGTATCCAGTGCAAATCGAACCAGATACCTTTTATACGGCTAGTGTGATTTTGGATGGTAATGAACTCAGCTATTTTGGGCAAGAAGGAATGACAGAAGTCCAATGTGGCAAAGTGACTGTGCAATTCCAGTGTTCTTCAGACAGCACCAATGGCACTGGGGTTCAGGGAGGGCAAATTCCAGAACTTATTTTTTATGCTTGAAGGAAAAGGTGGGTTTGCAGAATGCTCTGTGATTCTATATAATGTATTATGTCCGGTTCAGGCCAATTTCATGCTTAGCTTGTTGTCTGCAGATATGTCTGGTCAATTCAAGTAGGACACTCCTAAATGCAGTGAACAGTTTTAAATCTTGCTGTACTTTTTATTGTCTACATGTATTTCTTCTACTATGTGCTCCCAAGATCAAACTAGCAAATTAAGTGTTAAAGATTTTCGGCTTTAGCACAGATGGAATGCCTTATTAGTGAAGAAAGTTGTCATTTTTTTTTCTGTGCAGTGTGTGTCAAGGGACATAACTTGTCTGGTCTCGACTGTGCTGCTATTTCCTGTCATTTTGATTTATGATTTATTTATTTTTGCTCCTCTATGCTGTAGAACAACTAAGAATTAAAAGTATCTTTAGTCTTTTGGCATTTGGATGCAACGTAAACTTAGAACTGAGGCTGGTTTAGCTACATCATCACCATGCATGGGTTGAGGTTTTCTAGAAGAAACATAGGAGGTCTTCAAATGACAAGCACTTGAAGCAACTGATTGGAAAAAAAGATAAAGTTTGATCTGCCATGAATTGCTTTGCAAACACTGGCATTTCATATTTAGTTTATCTTGTGGAAGATAACAGCAAAAACTCAAGGTCTTTGGGGACAGTTGCTTTTTAATTAACCTTAACCTTAACTTTTTTTTTTTTAGAAAGCTCTTTTTCAAGGAAACTGTTGATATTTAAAAATACATTCATGCATTTTGGCTTGCCCATGATTACTTCTGGGTAGCCTTCCCTAGCTGGTATTAGTGCAGTTCCTACTATCTTCAGTGTACATGCAAGACAGGAATGATGGCAGCTAAAGCCTTTCATACAAGGAGAGCCTGCTCTGAAGTATTACATAATGGCATTTTCACTAGTACAAAATCTCTCTGAGAGTTACTTTTCTTTTCAAGGGATTAAATACATTTCATTTAATCAAGCCATTATTCTGGCTGCCTTTCATGCATCATCTGTGTTTTTTCCAGTGTCAGAAAATGTGTAGCAATCAGCAGATAATGAGTTTTGTAAGTTTTATTTGCCCAAACACCATTCTGAAGATACATGGTTTTTTTTTTTCCGATTAGTAAAAAATACAGATGTTTGGAGCATTTAATTGTTAGAAATTGCCATGGAATGTATTTGTTCAGTGTACCCTACAGTGACATTTTTTTCCATGGAACTCAAAGCTGAATATTTTAATGCTTCACATATTAAATTAACTAGTGGGACATTTAAACAGTTGAAGCAAATAGATTTGAAAGCTCTGTTTTTGAATGAGCACGTAGACTGCGCGTTATGCAGTTTGGTTAGAATATGAATATTGACCCAATTATAAATTTTGAAACATCACTCAAATTTTTAGATGTTATTTTTTTTTCCCCTCATCTGATTCCCCCCACATCCTATAGTTTTCACTATCTCCAGCCAGTGCGATGAAGGGATTCTTGGTATTTGTAATTTAACACAGGTTGCAGCAGAATTATTGAAGGGATTTGTAATCTGCCAGGCTCATACAAAATAATATTTGCTTAACTTATTAGACACTACGACTTCAACAAACTATAATTTAATTTTTTTTAGTTTATCGTTGAGTGTCAATGTGACCATTAAGATTGCTTGTGAATCTGCTGGTAGTTCTCTCTTTAACTACAGAAGTATTCTTTTTAGCACAAGTGTAAATTACTGATTCGTTTTGTGCAGCACACACTAAGGCTATCAAATTTGGGCTGCAAAATGCCATGTGACAGCAAACAAAAATACCAAGTGAGATTTTTTGCAACCCAGAACTGGGAACCCTGCAGAATCTGGGATATTTGTGACAAATATTTCTTATCTAACTTTTAGAGATTTTTCAATTGTCAGTCAAGCTTTCCTTTTCCAGATTTTTTAAAATTGGTTGGACTATCTGCATTTCTAACAAAAGATTCAAGTTGGCAGATAGCTTTAAAAAAAGAGAGATGGTAAAAATATAGGTGAGTACCATGTTTGTGAAATAAAAGGCACTCTCTCAAAACAGCAACTCCTATGTATTTCAGTCTAGAAAATAACATGTATTAGTCTGAAATAGATTTGTCCCAGTTTTCTCACTACAATGTAGCTCCATAGCACAACATTTTATTGTCCTAGCTATTAGAATAGTAGCTTTAATATTTTTATCTGAGGCATCCAGAGAATCTGAAATTTTCAGTAAAATAATAAAAACACTATCACATTGCAAGTTCTAATTCTTTGTATAGGTAACAACATATGGGGCTTCCATCATGGTGATTCAACATTGCTTTCGTCATTCTGCCCCCACTGTCCCATGCTACCAAATATCCTTGTGGGTGCCTCCAGTCTTCAGCCCATATCAGCTTTTCCTAATTTGTGGTTTTTTATTGAATTCAAACCGCAATGTCCAAAATTCTCAGGCCAGCATAACCATTAGGAGTCCTAAAACATTTGCAGAATGCCTCGGTAAATATTTTTGGGTCTTGAAATCCTGATTCCTAGTTTCATTAAGTGTATGTGGTACCCCAAATAATACTTGAACACGAGAAAATTTAGCAGTAACAGTTTCTCAGCAGTGCAGCATATTAAAAGCATAAAACAGAAGCTGTCCTTCAGAGCAAATGTTACTCCTGTGCCTCCTACATTTTTATCATCAGAAATAATATGATTAAAAAAATATTTACATTTCTCAGAGGTATGAAGTTGCTTTTCAAAGAAATGTAAAGGATTACATTCTCACAACTTTAAGTATGATTCAAGCCCTGAATTTAGACTAGAGTGAGGAGAGGTTAAAGCTGTTTTCAGACATAAAATTTGCTCCATATTCCTGATTTGTTATGGAAAAAGCTAGTCTCAATCTAACTCTCATCATCACATCAACATGAGGCTATAGTTGGGTAGACCACATATATTGCCCGATCTTGTAGGAACTGCTAGATAAAAGCATCTGGATAATTTGTTTGGGACAAAATGATCCTCTCTTTAAGTTATTTTTTCTTTAATCCAATTAATTTACATGTTTCAAATATGCCAAATAAAAGCACTGTGAATGGCATGATTTAAGGAAGACTGATGACATTACCTTAAGGTGAAATGAATCCATTTTCCAGACATAGGTCACATCAGTTGCCCTGTGGCCTTTCGGCCTCTAGATGGCAGGTGTACACTGCTACTTTTAGCTTTACCCCACTGAAGCACAGGTCTCAGTTTTATTCTGGAAAATATGTGGTATTTATGGTAAATATTTGTGGACAATGAACAATGAAACTAGAATTAGCATAATCACAATCATTCCTGAACAGAGAAATGAATTGTCTCTGACACCAGATTGCTCAGCTCTCTTTTTTAGAGGACCACAGACCTGTGTAATGAATTTTCCCTTCTTTGTTTTTCCCCATAATGTGTTACAAGTAGGCAGTTTGCCAGAATAAATATGGGTAAATATTTAACTTACCTTTATAAATAGTTCTCATATAATAGTGCAATCCTAAATTATCTTTAAGTTCTTCCCTGCATTTCAGACTTATTTTTTCCACAAACGCAATGCCAGTGAAATCAGCATGTATCACCCGGATGTCAAAAATGGTAGCCACATGGATGTCCTACTTGCAGGAAAATCAAGTAATTACTCCTGAGAGATAGAGCAGTAGGCAGACCTCCAAGTAAGCTAGTTAAGTTGTAGTAGCCCAAATGGGGGCAAAATGAGATGGGCTAGAGTTTTAAATGTATTGAATTTAGATTTCCAATTCTCATGCTGTGTTTTGTTTTGAAATGACTTATTTTCAAGGATGAATACTGGAAAGGTATTTATACTTTTTCTCTATGAAAACTAAAAACATTAATGAATTTCACAAGATAATTGAATAAGATCTCTGCAGTAGTGTGTGGCCATATTTATATCACCGAATATTTGTATTTTTTTCCTGATGTTCAATGCCCCTGTGTGCAATCCTACATATGTCTGTTCAGGCATCAATTTTGCTGGCTTCCCTAGGAATAATTCCTTAGTAAGTGTGCGGAGCTGCAACTTTAAGCAGTCAACTATGTAGTGTGTATTGCACGAGGGTTTTGTTTTTTGCAATTATAACACCTTTTAGTTGAATCTGGAATGACTTCTAATGTTAGCTCATTATTTTCAGCATGCATAACCTGCCTTTCTAAATTCTAAAAGAGCATATATTAAATATTAGAAAATATTGAGAAAATCAGAATTAAAAAACTAAAATGTAGTAGCTGCAGTTAATGACAGTTTTAAAGGGGTATTTTGTAAAAGCTTGGAATAAAAATTGACTTCACTACCAGTCTAATAGCAAGGCATAATAGGGCCAAGAAGATCTCCTTTGGGAGGCTGTTAAGATAAATGACTACTTGAAGTATGTATCAAATCTGAACGAAGAGTCTGAGTACTAATACATTGATCAGGAAAAAGCTACCTGTAATGAGTCTCCCTCTCTCTCTCTCTCTCTTCCTCTCCCGCTCCCTCTCTCCCTCCCTCTCCCTCCCCCTGCCCCTGCCCCAGGGGTGGGATTCAAACTTTTAACAACCGGTTCTGTGGGCATGGCTTAGGTGGTGGGCGTGGCTTGGCAGTCAAGTTATTAGCTGGGTGTGGCCAACTCAACATCACTCACATTGAAGCACGCATCTCCTCGCCTGGCCTCTCATGACTGTGGGGATGCTGCAACAGTCATGAGTGTGAAAAATGGTCATAAGTCACTTTTTTCAGTGCCATTGTAACTTTGAATGGTCAACTTTGAATGGTACCAGTAAAGGAGGGGAAAAAAGCTCCAGAGATGTTCCTGAGACAGGAAGTCTAGTCCTGCCAAGAATGTAATAAGGGTTAACGGCGAGGCAGTTTCTGTAAGCAACACCAGAATGTTTCCTTCCTGCCTTCCTTACAGGATTAGGCCAGTAATTTCTTCTAACAACCGGTTCTCCGAACTGCTTAGGATGTTAACAACCAGTTCTAGTGAATAGGTGCGAACTGGTAGAATCCCACCCCTGCCCCTGCCCCTCCCCCCCTTTCTCTCTCTGTATTGGCTCTTGAACACATGAAAAGCAGAACCTACATTTTCTTTGTATGTTACAAATGAAGAAAATTTCAAATTTTGTAACTATACAGTGAAATTTAAAAGATGATTTAATCATTTAAATAACAATGTTATTATGAAGGTGATATATGAGTTTTAAGACTGTATTTATCTAAACTTTGATCTGTTGTTTCCCCCCCAGGGAACAACTTGGAAAGAGCTTTGAGTACTTAAATTTTCCTTGCCAAATAGAATAAAACAAATATAATTCCCTACACTTCACTCAATTTAGTGTTGTTCTGAATGGAGGATACGTTTCTGAAGCAGAGAGGGTTTTTTTTTTTAATTGAACTGGATGGTCCTTCATATGTTTCCATCATGTGGTGTTTTCCTAGCAACAGTGGATCAGGCATATTAACTTTGATCTTCTACTCTGTTATAACCAAGCTAAATTAGATTCAGTTAACTCAGATTATTGTTACCTTATGTAGATTGTGGATAGAATGAGAAGATTTGCAGCATCCAACTAGTACTGCAGAAATAACTCGGGAGATTTGCAGAATTGTCCCCAAATTAGGGCTATGCCCTTTAATTGAAAGTTCATGTCCTAAATTGTTAGGATAATATATTTATAATACAGGTAGTCTTCAACTTACAATCACAATTGGGGCTGGGACTTTTGTCCTTCAGCAATGTGGTTGTTAGGTGAGCCATGCCAGTTTTATGATCTCTTTTGCTATGGTTGTTTAAGCGAATCATGATTATTAAGTGAATCACAAAACCATTAAGTGAATTTGGCTTTCCCCCATAGACTTTGCTTCTTGGAAGCCCCTGGTAAGGCCACAAATGGGGATCACATGATCCTGGGACAGATTTAAAGACATGCTGGTTGCCAAGTGCCTGAATTCTGGTCATGTGACTGCAGGGATGCTACAACGGTGATAAGTACCGGGACCAGCTATGAGTCACTTTTTTCATTGCTGTCATAATTTAAAATTATCATTAAACAAATGACTGTAAGTCACAGACTACCTGTATATTGCTTTAGTCTTCTGGAATTATCCAATATATTTATCTATAAAGAGCCAGAGATTGAGAAAAAGTATAGACAATATTGAAATTATTTTGAATATCATCTTGCAAAGCTGAACTGAACAGGGAAAGAAAGTTATTACTGGATTTCTTAGTGTACTATATATTTTGAGCTGATCTGCATATAATTTAAACTAATAATTCTAATTTCTACAGTACTTATAGCACTGTTTTTTTTATTAAAAATGAAAAATTTAAACTCTGTTATTTCAGACACAATTGGATCTAGTTGTGTTTGGAATAGTGCTTGTCTATAGCAACTGATGGCATTATTTATGAAGGACGTTTATAAATTCTAAGTACCTCAAATCGAATGTTACCGTACTGTATCTTTAATGTAACAGTGTAGAATATTAGTAGACACATGAATGTGTATAATCACATTTGAGAGAAAAATAAAAATGAAATTGGTTCTTAAACTATTTTCAGCATGCTTCTGAACCGTCTTAAATGAATAAACAGAATTTTGAATAGGAAAAACTTCCCCCACCCTCCAGTTTTTCATTTGGTTTGGTTTTGAATTCCTTCTTTTTGAGGGTTGATCCCAACATTTTGAGGGTGATCCCAACACTTGTATAAGAATCTTTCTTGGACTTTGGAAACCAGTAAATCTTGATGTGCTTTAGATATTGCCCATGAAAGAAGACCACAGCAAGCGCTCTCTCTCTCTCTCTCTCTCTCTCTCTCTCTA